TTGAACATGATTGAACTGAACCTGAACCTGAACTTGACCAAAGTTCGGTTTCAGTTCGGTTCATAGGAACACTACCAATAATATAGGTAAATATTGTTGTTCGAGCATTAAGAGGTGTTACATGTTTAAAAAATGATTTTTCCCTAGTGCGATATATGAAGCAAACTTATCCAAAAAACATCCAATTATCTTTATAACTAAAACTTGTTTCCTTCTAAAGACAAAAAAGTTAAATACCAACTAACTTAAATTTTGTAGAGAGGAAGTCGATCAAACTTTTCTCAATCTCACTTTTAATATTACTACCCGAACTCCTATCGACCCTTCCAACAATCAAGTGTACAATCACGAAAAAAACTATGATGATAATGGTTAAATACCGAATTAAAAGCATTAAATACTCATTTTTATTTTACTCTTAGATATACTATATTTTATTTTTTTTATATTTTAATAATTTTTAATTTAACATATCCAATTTATTAATAAACACTAGTACTGTGAATAGCGAAGTATCATTTTAAATCAAGATTAGCAAAATTGCTTAGGTTATTTTTTTACTGAAGCTTTATTTGCTAAATATGCAAATTTCTATATGTTTTGTATTTATTCTGTACTTTGTTATAATAAAGCTGGCTCTGGTACTGATTTCGGTTATATAATCAGTTTATTTTTGAATATGTATATTAAGTAAATTTATTTGATTGCATTGTTATCGATGTTTATATTATATTTGATTGAAATTTTTTTGATAGAGCATAAGATTACGATGACAATTTCAGACTTTTTTTTTTTAAATAATGATAAAAAAACTTATTAAAGCTTATTTTATTATTGTTCAATTATATGATTTTATTTACTGTACAAGAGGAAGAACATATGGAAATTTCGTTCGCTATCATTTACAAGCTTTACAGGCTCTATATCAAATATGTAAATATCTATTTCTCTAAAGGAATAATTCATTTCAACACATCTTATAACTCATTACATATTTATGACCACTTATAAATATGTCATAGCTAGGAACATTGCCAAGTAAGAATCACATAGCTATAATGAGAATCGGCCACTAAGACTAGGGATGGCATGTAATTTAAATCATGATATATCAATCACTGATTTTTGATTTTAAATCAATTTACAGCAGATTTAAATCTTTTATTATGTAATCATTATGATCGTTATGAATTGCATAATTTGTTGTTTTGATTAGTATTTTGATTAGTATTTTGATTTGATAATAATTTAAAACGTAAAA